GGCGGCGCTTGATTTCGGGGACGGTGGGCGGCGTTTGAGATCCTACTTGGCTGGGTTCGAGCAAGAGCAGGCCACCTACGGGAAGGATGGCGGCCGGCGAGCAGCAGGTCCGAGCAGGAAGAGCAAAGCAGTGGTAATCGATCCCTTTACACGAACGTGAACCAAACAGACCTAAAAAAACTCATTACACCTTCTTAAACACCGTGATATGATTAAGTTAACATTGCCGTTACCATTTCTGTAGCCAAACACCTCCCTAGATGTAAGGTCGGCTAGGTTGGACTTGGGCAGGTGTTTAATAAATTTTACATGTCTCATTTTTTTTCCTTTCTTTTCTCACATCTTTTTTCTTAATCAGGAAAACATACATAAATAACCCACTACAAGTGTTCTTAGGAATCCCTATATGTGAGTGTAGTGTCCATTCGGAGACATCCGATTTGATACATATGAAGTAGTATTAGTTCTGCATTAGTGCGACATGTGATATATTTCGTGTTGTGTCTAGCCCTTGAGCAAGTCTTCATGTATATTTGTAGTAATGTTTAAAACTTCACAACAAATATTGATGTGTGCATAAATGGATCCAGAGGCTAGGCTCCACCATTTCGAGAAAAAAAATTGGATGTGGATATCACTAGTGTCGATCAAAAGTTCAGAATGAATTGAGCAGCAATCACATTCAGTCACATAACTAACTATCATGTGAATAAATATATTGTTTATATTGCAGGGACATGGATATATTTCTTGACTGTCAGAGATATTGCTAATTTGTTTCCATAAATAACCTTCCTGTGAATACATGATGTGCTTAAATTTTATGTAAAGCAAATACATAGTACTAGGTTGGGCACTTGAGTTTATGGTTTACCAAATTGTGAACCTGAATTTTTACTCCCTCCATCCAATAATATAACAGCATACTGCACTCTAGTGTCGAAAATGCTCTTATATTATGGCACGGAGGGCTAGGTACTAATATCAAAGTTGTATGATTTAAAAATTATTAAGGGCTATGGTGGGTGGGTGAGGGTGCAAATGGCCTGCCTGGCTATGTTGGACCTCGATACTGGATGTGTAGGACTTAGATATTTTTGGCTCGGCTTTAGAAAATCTTGTGAACAACGATCAGGTGGCTGTGTGGATGGTAGCATTGATATCTTTTTCCCCTTTTAAAACATAGGCAGGGAAATTGCAGTGTCCTGCTTCCTGGCAAGTAACACTCTTTATTTGCTTCTAGAATACATCCCTGTCTCCCTGGAAAAGCCAAAACACCCTTTCAACAAGCCTAATGCTAGTCTACTCTCTTGCTATTACAATCATCATTCATATTGCGTTCAACTATACACAACTAACGGACATATGTTGTTTAATTGCACCAACCTGGTTACCAAAATACTACTAGCTGATGAGATTACGGACGATGCAGTGAGACCATCAATCACCACATATAATATTTCATGTGTAATAATAATATGTCTATTCCGAGAAGAAATGCACCTACTAGCTTAGCTAACCCTTCGGAGTCGACTCCTTGCACGGTTTTGTACTTGGCTAGTAGCAATCAGCTCAACATGTCGAATTGTTAATTGTGAAAAAACCATGAAATATATATTACCAGGCTCTCAATTATAGATATAACACACATAAATATACTTTGACGACCCTGATAGATTCTAAGGGACAGACATACCCGTCTCTCATTTATATCCATGTTTATAATTTTAGCTACCCCGATGTCAGTATTATTAATGAAACACAAATAGAAAAAACATCCAACCAAGAATGTTACAGAAATCTTACTGAACGATTGTTTCCTGGCAGTGTTTTTTAGGGAAGGGTCTCTGGTGCATTCAATCCTGCACGTTAATCTCAAACGGTGAGAGTGTGGGAATTCCAGTTCGCTCCCATGCATCCTCCTGAGTGAACTATACAAACCTTCACTCCCATGCAGCCCCAGAGTGAACGATGCAAACATTCGCTCCTCCCGACCGTATGACCCCATATGTAACATGACACTCCCCTATGAGGTAGCATGACAATAAATGGAAGCATGTATGACAACTTCTTCATGTATGGCAACTTCTCTACATAGTATGGTAATTCACCCAGCTGTAGTATGGCAATCCGGAACATGTGGGCAACTTCCCCTTTTCTGAGCATGACAATTGTCTCTTTGTTGTAGCATGCCGAATCCCTAAAATACAGGGCAATGTTAGGCCAATCCCTGCAACGTATGACTATTCTTTCTGCTATAGCATGACAATTATTTCTTCTTAGCATGGCAAATCTACCCATTATAGAATGAAAAATCCCTGTTATAGCATGGTAAATCCTAAAACGTTCTTGAGAGTCGGTTTTTGAGGGAACACTCTCTAGAGGTGTCATGCGTTCCAATGGATCTCCTAGAGCGAACAATCGTTCGTGATAGGGACACCAGGAATGACAAATTCTCTCCCTGTTGGAGTAGTAATGTTATACATATGACGGAAAATGAGTGGACTATTGGAAGGGAAAATTAAATTGTGAATTTTCGGTACCCGAAATGACTTTTGAAGATGCCTAGTTCGAAACCATAAAAACAGTTGCAACATAACAAGTTAAATAAATTTCGTCGTGGAGGCCCGATACTATGATAAATAGGAAATTATATTCAAGTCCATATGGAAATAAGCTTAGTTGGTAGGATGTACATAATAAGTATGAACGGATGCCCCTGGCCATGCATCGATTCAAGCATATAATATTTTTAAAAATGTGAAATGCATTAAGCTGAACAAAACCAGCATACAGTATACATAAAAATATAATGACTATCAAAATGCATGCGGCCTGCTTTGGGAAGAGCAACATTGTGGAAGTTCAAAGCCAAAAAACCTGCAAAGCAACCAAGGATGAATTAGAGCTAAACAATGAACCCAACCAAGGGATTCACCTTGGAGAGCACATCGCTACCTCCCAAGACAATGCGTTCAAGGAAAGAACGTACATTCGCCAACGTGTGGATCAAATCAAGAGCTTTCACTTGAGTGGCCTGCTCAAGACACCAACATACACTAGTTGGACCAACCAGTGAAGAAACTAGTACATCCTCAAGAAGATGGTGATGCATGTACGTTGATGTTGTCTGATCGAGCAATTGAAGGCTAGATTAAAGGTTTTCACCCCCGAAACCATGAATAGACGCCCCTACACCCTACAGAGCGGCGCGGTTTCCCAAGTGCGCAATGGTTTTCCACCATATCTGAGAGTCGGCATATGCAAAATTGCCAGCGTAGATAGCCTCACTATCATCAGTGCAAATTATATAGCTAGTCTACGTAGGCAAGAATTAACTAAAGATACACGAGGTCATTACCTGTCCCCTTGCAAGGTGTCAGTGTCAGGTTTGACATACACTTTCCAAGTCAGTGTCAGGTTTGGCATACACGTTCTAACAGTCGCCGTCGTGGCTAGCTGTCCGTTGGATCGCTGCAAAATTTGCAAGTACTCCCTCCGTTCCGATTTACTCGTCGTGGTTTTAGTTCAAATTTGAACTAAAATCACGACGAGTAAATCGGAACGGAGGGTGTAGCAAACTGACACGGTTGCATGCTCACACATTTCAGTAAGAACAAGCTGTGGACCAGGCTGGCTGGCTTTGAAGATTCTACTGTCCTTAATTAGATACTTTTTTTAAACAAGTTAATTAGGATACTTGATGACACTGTTACAAGCTATTTTGTTCACTTTATGTATAGCCAGCAAGAGAGCCAATAAACATCGTACCGAGTCTTTCTCTAGCACACTGGGACAAGGTAAAACTTTTCCTTTGTGTAAGCAGTTCAGTTCTTCGTGTGCAGCACAAGAAATTCGATTCTGGACATGCATCGTGTGACGTTGCATATTCTGATCCTTGGTCGATCCCACGGGGTGAGGGCGCGGAGATGCGCGCGGCGACGAGATTAGTGCGTTGTTTAATCGCAGCAGCTGCTGCTGCCATGATTCCGTCAGATGCAATAATACATTCTTTCCGGGTAGACCATGTTAATTGCACTTAACCTACAGCTAAGAGTTGTGGTGTGTTTATTCCCATCCCAGTGTCAACTCTGCTGTAGCAAATGAATGTGAGCGCGTCTCGCTATAAATACCAAACTGATGCGAGATTCAAATCACAAGCCATACTACCACATCACCATTAGTCCATTACTACATTGAAGCCGAGCTCAAGAGCAGCAGCAACAACCACCATTAGTTGCTTTTAGTTGTCAGGAAAGATGGAGGTCGAGGCCGGCACGCATGGCGACACCGCCACGAGCAAGTTCACGCTGCCTGTGGACTCCGAGCACAAGGCCAAGTCCATCAGGCTCTTCTCCTTCGCCAACCCGCACATGCGCACGTTCCACCTCTCCTGGATCTCCTTCTTCACCTGCTTTGTGTCCACCTTCGCCGCTGCGCCGTTAGTGCCCATCATCCGCGACAACCTCAACCTCGCCAAGGCCGACATCGGCAATGCCGGTGTGGCGTCCGTGTCCGGGTCCATCTTCTCCAGGCTTGCCATGGGGGCCGTGTGCGATCTCCTCGGCCCGCGTTATGGATGTGCCTTCCTCGTCATGCTCTCCGCACCGACTGTATTTTGCATGGCGGTCATCGACGACGCGTCGGGGTACATCGCTGTTCGTTTCCTCATCGGCTTCTCGCTTGCCACCTTTGTGTCATGCCAGTATTGGATGAGCACCATGTTCAACAGCAAGATCATCGGCACGGTGAACGGCCTAGCGGCTGGGTGGGGCAACATGGGTGGTGGCGCCACACAGCTCATCATGCCACTCGTTTTCCATGCCATCCAAAAGTGTGGTGCCACGCCCTTTGTAGCATGGCGAATTGCCTACTTCGTGCCAGGAATGATGCACATCGTGATGGGCTTGCTGGTGCTCACCCTGGGGCAAGATCTCCCTGATGGAAACCTTGCGAGCCTCCAAAAGAAGGGAGACATGGCCAAGGACAAGTTCTCCAAGGTCCTTTGGGGTGCCGTTACCAACTACCGGACATGGATCTTCGTCCTCCTCTACGGCTACTGTATGGGCGTCGAGCTCACCACCGACAACGTCATCGCCGAGTACTACTACGACCACTTCCACCTAGACCTTCGCGCTGCCGGCACCATCGCTGCCTGCTTTGGCATGGCAAACATCGTCGCGCGTCCTATGGGTGGCTACCTCTCTGACCTTGGTGCCCGCTACTTTGGCATGCGTGCTCGTCTCTGGAACATCTGGATCCTCCAGACCGCTGGTGGTGCTTTCTGCATCTGGCTCGGTCGTGCATCGGCCCTCCCTGCCTCAGTCACAGCCATGGTGCTCTTCTCCATTTGCGCGCAAGCAGCCTGTGGTGCTGTCTTTGGCGTCGCGCCCTTCGTTTCCAGGCGTTCCCTTGGTATCATCTCCGGGCTTACCGGCGCAGGTGGGAACGTGGGTGCGGGGCTCACACAACTTCTGTTTTTCACTTCATCTCAATACTCCACTGGTAGGGGTCTTGAGTACATGGGAATCATGATCATGGCATGCACTCTTCCTGTCACCCTCGTGCACTTCCCACAGTGGGGCTCCATGTTCTTTCCGGCCAGCGCAGACGCCACGGAGGAGGAGTACTACGGCTCCGAGTGGTCGGAGGAGGAGAAGAGAAACGGCCTCCATATCGCAGGCCAAAAATTCGCCGAGAACTCCCGCTCCGAGCGTGGCAGGCGCAACGTCATCCTTGCTACATCTGCAACGCCACCAAACAACACGCCCCAACATGTGTAGGGCACAAGTTTTGTTTTCTACCTTCGAAGCATACATTTACGTATATACATGCCTTACATATGTATGGCTGCAATCCAACGTGATTAATAAGTTGTATGGGGATTTACCTTTCTGCTAAACACTAGCTTCCATGCACACATGCATGCGAACGAGGGTATATGTACTATCAAATTCGGTCCGGAATTACATGAACAATTTGAAATTTTCTGTACTTTCGGTTCTTCCACCAAGGAAATTTAAATACTTGGAGTTACGTAGCCAGAATGTTCGAGCAGGTCTATAGTCACGGTGAAAGTCTAAACTAAACCAAGTGAGCAAACTGCAAATATACGAATATGTACAAAGTAAATTTTACTGTCCCAACTATTCCTCATGGATGTTTGGCTCTACCTGACTCCTAAAGTCATGAGACTATTTTAAAGAAGTTTGAATTGATGTGACTGAAATATGGTAGCCACGCCAGCTAATTGATTGTAATGACCAAGTCAAACAATTTTGTTAGTAAAATTCTCGCACTTGGTTTTTAAATAACTACCTTCTTCCTATTCGGCATTCGCTAGGGGCAAGCTAGATCCAGTTATGATGCATAGATAAATGGCGATATGCGACAATCCCGGTAGAGACGAGGGCGTAATGAGGTAGTAGTACGCCATGAGAGACTGGGGGATATGAATTGTGGAAAGGGAGTAGGAGCAGTTGTGTGTGAAGAGATGGGACCTCTAAAATATGAGACGGAAACCCCTAAAATATAAAGTGTAGTTTGATTGTCCAAATATACACTTTAACCAATAATTACTTCAAAGGTACACTGTTTACTTTACATATATATAGACATTATTAGATTTTTATCAATTGCACTTTTTCGTATGATTGTGATTTTATAATGATTGACTAAATTTTATTAGTGGAGATGGGGAAGATTAGCTCAGTTTTTGTAGCCCATCCGTAGAATGTAGCATTTTTTTCTTTTTTATTAGTAGCAACTGGTTGACGTTGCCATGTTCCGTACATACGTACAGCCTCATGTTGTTGGAGTCCTTGTCAGTTGCCGTGTCCGCTGATCATATGGATATCCTTGTCAGCTCCAAATGGATAGCCTGCTAGTAGCGTGTATATATGCTCGAATGAAAGTCAAATCAAACCTGTAAGTAGCACACATTTTATTAGTTCTTGACAAAAGTATTTAGTTTTGAATACAAAAAGAAAATTCAAGTGTCTGAGCTCTGCATCGAGATGCACACAACCTCACGAGTACATTAAAAGAGGGGTACTAGTCCAATGGTAGACGCCACCATTTGGCGGTCTCCAGTGTCGACGTACCGGCTTCCGGCGGCGGCCTGGAATAGCGCGCAGCCGAGGAGGAGCTCAGTTGGCTGCCGGCGGCGGCCTGGAATAGCGCGCAGCCGAGTCAGTGGATCTGGTGTGGAGATGCAGTGGGTGGGTGCGCCGCCGAGCGACTAGTGGTGTGTGCGGGAGAGATTTTTTCTTTAGTGAATCTGCAGGAGAAAATTAGATGGATCGGGGATGGACCGGGGTGGGCAAATTTCCATCTCCCCAAAATACCCTTTCTGTGTGCGGGATTTTATTTTTTATTTTAATCTCGTGCGGGCAGTGGCGGAGCTAGCATTTGAGAGCAGGGTGGTCCGCTCCAATTGTTTTTTGATATACAATATGATATGTGAATGTTATAACTAATTACCAATATCCCGTATAAATAGATCAATATAATCTTACAAACGAACTAAAATTCTCAATGAAATCTCATAAATGATGCTATGAATAAAGCTAAGCTGAGGTAGAAATCAGAACTGATGTGCAAAATTACGTAGGTGTTCATGACTTCATGTACTAGATAGCATAGTGTAAAAAATGCAAACCCTAAACCAGAAATTGGGGGTATTCGATGCCTAAATCTGGTTGCTCACTTGCTGGCTTGCTGCCGCCGGAGACTGTTGACTGAGCGACAGCGCCACCCGCCGGCTTTGCAGCGAGGCGGAGGCAGGGCACTAGGCGGCCGGGGTCAAGGCGCAAGGCAGAGGCGTAGCACACATGCAAGGGGCGCGAGCGCGCGGCTAGAGATGAGGGGTGGGACGGCAAGAAGGAGATGTGGGTTGGGCGCCGGCCAGCTACCACTGGAAGCCGTGTGGTCGGCGAGCCGGTGAGGCAAGGAACGGTGGCTGGGCGTCGGGGCACTCCTGTGCGAGGGTGTAAGACGAGGGGACCGCTCTGCTTGATGTGGACGAGGACGAGGGTGGACTCGATGTGGATCGGGATATCTTGGGCCCTTTTTGTCCCTGGCCCAGTTAGATATACATATGTATATAAGGCTGATCAAAAATTCCAGGGTGGGCCGCGGGCCATCCTGGCCACCCTGTAGCTCCGCCCCTGCGTGTGGGAGGCGTTTTTTCCCTCTGCCCATTTTGCCCTTCGGAGAAAAAATACTACTCCTTCGCTGGACAAGTATTGATCACGTTGGACCATCAGATCTACTGATTGGATGTCTGATATTTCTTTGTCCTTACCGTAAAAGGTCTCCATTGAAAATCTTGAGAAAACACCCGGTGAAAAATGTATTGCTATCAAAAGAAGAAAACATCTCCATAAACAAGAACATATCCTAGCTCGCTGCCCTAGTGTGAAGACTAGGCCGACATAAATGTCGAGTAAAGAGCATAACTAGTATTTGCGTAAATAAGTTCATATCTGAGAGCAAATTCAACCATGTCAGATATTGAATGTTCATTGGTCGAACTGAACTGAATCTTGAAATGTGAGGATACTAATGTTGAATTTGTGGACAAAATGTTTAAGCTAAGACGGAGGCTGGAGGCCATGCCGGAAGGGCAATAGCATTACCTGCATAGTTTGCCATTTGCTCGATTCAGCAGAGGTAACATTTTGAGTTTTCTTTATGTACAAGTCCACTTATTGACCCATATGTACAACATTAAAATTTTATATTCAGAATTAGAGTGGAAGAGCGGCATGATTTCGATAAAGATTTATAATTAGAGTCAATTTCTTTTTTTAAATAGGGTCAATAGGAGAAGTGTCACCATAAATTAGCAACTATATATCAATCAACAAGGAATTTCTTGTCACAGCTAGACAGCTTGATCCTTGGAAATTAGTCGACAACCACAACATAGAATAAAATACTACAACAAGTGCCGACCACACAAGAACCATTCAAAGGAAACATGTGTACGTTTCTACTAGCAAGCTTTCGTGGTAGCTCAAGGTTCATGAAAGCGTCCTTGATTAAACAAATAAAAGTACGGCTCTTGTACTTCTTGAAGCTGATCAACCCATGTCGAATTGTTTATCACCATCGACAATGATATTTCATTATAAAAATCAGCTAGATAATTAACCAGGTCATTAAGTGGGCAACAATAAAACAGGTCGGCTTGGACATGGGCAGCTCTATAATGGACTTTACAATTTATATATGTGCATATATCTTGCTTTTTGCTAGATTGGGAGAATGAACTTACATTAATAGCCCACATACGAGTGCCAAACACAAATACGTAATGAATATATATGAGTCTTAAACTCGTAATCATGTTCAGTCACATGGATATTTGTTCAATGTAATATATATTGCCAAAAAAATTCCATAACTATCCCGTGCATATGTGAGGTGCTTTATTTGTTGATAAAAGAAAATAAATACTAGGATGGTTGGTTGAGTTTAATATTTCTGAATTACGTGTCTTACTTTTAAGTGTTGATATATATTTAATATTGAAGTTTTGTGACTAATAATTTTTCAAGGATTACAACAAGAGGGGATGACCACATGGCTAGTAGCTAAATACTCCTACCATTCCAAAAGCGAACACACATTTCAAAAATCATGTTTGACCATATGTGACCAAGGAATGTAGGTTATGTGCCACCTGATTTTGGTTTCACATGATTCATATGTTTATGGTGTAATTTATGATAAAAGTTAAATCTAAAATTGTGTGCACAACCTTATAAACAAGAATGAAGGGAGTACCTGCTAGGCCCTTTAATTTTGAATCAGCTTTTGAAATATCTTGTGAACAAAGATCAGGTGGTTGTGGTTGCTAGCAAGGACATATTTTTTTCCCTTCAAAAACAACATCGGCTTGAAAATTGTATTGTCATGCTTCCTGGCACTTAACAGTATTCGCATCTTCTATATACAAAAGAGTAACTAAAAGTATATATTGTAGTTGAGAATACATCCTTGTCTCCCTCGAAAAGCCAAACCACTCTTTCAAGAAGCCCTAATGCCAGTCTACCATCCTGCTATCACATAATCAGCATGCATACTGCATTCAATTATACCCACCTAATGGACATCATTTAATTTCACCAACCTGATTACAAACTACTAGCTTATTAGATTACGGTGATGGAGGAAGAACAACAACCACAATATGTAATATTGCATGTGTTGTGTAATAACATATGTATTTGGAGAAGAAATGCAGCTACCTAGCTAACCATTCAGAGTCTAATCTTTGCATGAATTTGTACTCGGATAGTAGCAAGCGGTTCTGTCATATCCACTTGTTCTTGTGGAAAAGTGACGCAATATGTATATTGGCATTGACATAATATGTCTCTCATTCTCTACATATACATGTGTTAACACTCTTGAATACTCCGGTATTATTTATGAAAATGAAGTTACACAAACAAAAGAAAGCATCTAACCAATAATAATATACATAATTATAATTAGTAGATAGCAGAAAACCTAAGAAATATTATATGGGAAAAAGAAAACTGTTAATTCTTGAAGATGTCTATAACATGAAATTATAAAACATTTGCAACACAAAAAGTTAAAGGGAAACTATAGGGAAGGCCTGATATTGTGATAAATAGGAACCGAAGTCCAACATAAGTAAACTATGTTAGTAGGATTGCAAATATGCCTCTCACCCAAATGAATTAGGCTCACTAACTCCCTATTGCTAGGATATCTTGAGCCATTTTTTAGTTCAAGGAGGAATGAA